CGGGCGGATGTGTGATTCACAGACACGCGACACGCCAGACCAAGCCAGGCAACGGCCAGCGTGCGGCCGAACGTCAGCAATCAGATGGCAGGGTCGATAGTAAGGAGGCTGTCTCCCGAGGAAGTTAAACGTCGACGCGAGAAAGGCCTATGCTTCAAATGTGAATAGAAGTTTACGCCGGGCCATCAGTGTAAACAAGCTTTTGTGATTGAAGTAGTCAATCCCGACGATGAGGAAGATGAAATCGAGGAAGAACCGGATCCAGAGGACAACTTGGAAGCATTTAATGAAGAACTTGAGATCTCGATGCATGCAATGGCTGGAATCAGAGGACCAATAACGATGCGACTACCAGCATGGGTCCAAGATCGAAGGATAATCGTACTCATAGACAATGGTTCATCACATAATTTCATCAACGCTGATTTGTCACAGAAGTTGAAATTTCCAACCACAGAGGTCGAGCCCTTTGATGTACGAGTGGCCAATGGAGAAAGACTACAATGTACTGAGTCATTCCGGAAGGTGCCAATCAAGTTCAGCGGAGTTACTGTGAAGGCTGATCTCTATGCCTTACCTTTGGTTGGGCCGGATGTCGTTTTGGGAGTTCAGTGGCTCGAGGGGTTAAGCAAGGTGACTACCGACTATCGAACGGGAATTATGGAGTTCAACTCTGGAGGTCGACAAGTCACTCTGAGTACTGGCAATGAAAAAGGTACCAAGGAGGTAGGACTTAAGAGCATTGAAAAAGTTTGGCGAGGTGGAGGCCAAATATTTGCAGTAGTGGTCGGGAACACCGAGGCACACATAGACCGAGATGAACAACAACAAGGAGATGTGCGCGAGCTTCTCGAGGAATTTGAGGGAGTACTGGGTGAGCCTAAGGGACTACCGCCACACCGAGAGTTCGATCATCATATACCACTGATCAATGAGCAGCATGCCATACATGTCCATCCTTATAGGTATGCTCACGTTCAGAAAACTGAGATCGAACGGCAGGTGGCCGAGATGCTTGAGTCAGGACTAATCCAGAATAGCAAGAGTCCGTTTTCTTCTCCAGTACTGTTAGCTAAAAAGAAAGATGGCACGTGGAGGTTCTGTACTGACTATCGAGCTCTAAATGCCGCGACTATCAAGGACCGATTTCTTATCCCTAGTGTCAACGACATGCTCGATGAGTTAGCTGGGTCACGCTATTTCTCAAAGCTCGACCTGAGAGCTGGTTATCATCAGATTCGACTCCACAAGGCCGACATTCTGAAGACAGCATTTCGTACGCACCAGGGGCACTATGAGTATTTGGTTCTGCCATTCGGATTGTGCAACGCCCCATCCACTTTTCAGTTTGCTATGAATTCCATCTTCAAGGAGTATCTACGTAAGTTCGTTTTGGTATTCTTTGATGATATTCTGATTTATTCAAAGTTGTGGGGAGAACATCTTGGGCATTTGAGAGTGGTGCTCGAAATCTTGGAGGCAAACTCATTTCACATCAAGCCATCCAAGTGTTCATTCGGGCATAAGATGGTTGAGTATCTTGGGCATTTCATATCTCACGAGGGCGTGAAGGTTGATCCACCAAAGATTGAGGCTATGATCGATTGGCCTAAACCGACAAGTCTCACACAGCTAAGGGGATTTCTAGGACTCACGGGCTACTACAGAAAGTTCGTGAAGGATTATGGAACCATCGCCAAGCCACTGACAGAATGACTAAGAAAGGCGGGTTCACATGAACCGAAGCTAGTGAGGAGGCGTTTGGGAAACTGAAAGTAGCCATGACTACAACGCCAGTGCTCGCCATGCCAAGGTTTGATGTCTTGTTTGAGGTACACACAGATGCGAGTGACATTGGGATCGGAGCTGTGTTAGTGTAAGAAGGGCGACCCTTAGCTTATCTCAGCAAGGCACTAGGCACTACACGATTGGGTCTATCTGTGTACGTGAAGGAGATGCTAGCAGTTGTTGAAGCCGTAAGGTGCTGGAGGCCTTATCTATTGGGCCGACGCTTTTGAATTGTGACCAACCAGCAACCGCTTAAGCATCTAATCGAGCAGAGAATTGTTACCCCTGAGCAGCAGAAGTTCGTATCTAAACTTATGGGGTTTGACTTCGAGATAGTCTATCGACCAGGTCGACAGAATGCAGTAGCTGAGGCGTTATCCCGACGGACGGATGTAGCCGAGCTTGATGCTATCACTGGGCCGACTTGGACTATTTGGGAGGAAGTCAGGAAGGCGCAAGAGGAGGACACCTATTGCCAGGAGTTGCGCCAATCGATAGAAGCAGGTAAGACAACTGCTATCGACTATGAGTTGCATAATAGTCTGCTTCTACACCGAGGCTGAGTATTCGTTCCCGACAGTGGGCAGTTACGCGAGCGAATCATGCAGCACTTTCACAATTCTAAGATTGGAGATCACTCGGGTATCTACCGCACATGGATGAGAATAGCCAATACTTTATACTGGCCAGGACAACAGAATACCGTCCGAGATTACATAGCACGGTGCGACGATTGCCAGTGCACTAAGTCTGACTCACGTCGACCGAGCGGGCTGTTACAACCTCTACCGGTATCCGAGGCAATCTGGGAAGACATTACTATGGATTTTATAGAAGGGTTACCGAGTTCTAATGGATTTGACGGTGTTATGGTCGTGGTGGATCGTCTCACAAAGTATGCCCACTTCATACCTATCACCCATCCTTGCACTGCAAAGTCGATTGCCAGGCTATTCGTGGAATATGTGATGAAACTGCATGGAGCACCACGATCCATTGTTTCTGATCGAGACCGGATCTTTATGAGCAGCTTCTGGTCTGAATTCTTCAAATTGCAAGGGACCAAACTATCTATGAGCTCAGCCTACCACCCACAGACAGACGGACAAACCGAGGTAACCAACCGAACTCTTGAACAGTACTTAAGGTGCTACGTCCATCAATTTTCGAAGAGGTGGGAAAACTTTTTGCCTTGGGCTGAGTGTTGGTACAACACTACCTACCATGAATCAACCAAGATGACGCCATTTGAGCTGGTATACGGACGTAAACCCCCGACATTGATCAGCTATTCAGAAGGAAGTACGATTAATGATAAAGTTGGTCGAGAACTCGAGGAACGAGATCTGATGTTGAGGGAGTTGAAGAAAAATCTCGAAGGCTCGATTGATCGAACCAAGGCCTTCGCGGATGGAAAGAGGCGTGAGGAAAACTTTGTACCAGGGGAGTATGTCTATCTGAAGCTACGACCATTCAGACAGCGCACAACAGTACAAAGGGCAGCGACTGAACTTGGAGTTCGCTATTATGGACCTTATCAGATTCTGAAGCGCATTGGTCAGGTAGCTTATTGCCTAGGATTACCAGAAAGTTCTCAGATCCACCCGGTTATCCATGTCTCACAACTCAAGAGGAGTTTAGGAGAAGCGCAGAAGTATTGTGAGGAGTTACCAGCAACCGCAGCCGATGGTAGGGTCATAGTACGCCCAAAACGAGCGATTGAGTATCGCAAGGTAAGAAAGGCTGGGCGCTATCGTTGGGAGGTACTAGTCGACTGGGAGGAGTTGCCATCCGAAGAGGCCACATGGGAAGATCTTGATGAGATGCGCGATCAATTCCCGAATTTCATCCTTGAGGACAAGGAATCACTTGAAGGGGACGGGAATGATGCGGAAGTGGCTAGGCAGCTCAAGAATGCCGCAAGTCGCGCTTACCACGCACGCAAAAGGTTAGCACGGGAAGCAGCTGAGGTGCGCGCACTAGAGGGTAGTGCGCGCGGGGCAGGTATGGATGGCCAATACGCGGATATGCGGGAGCTGGGCGCAAGCGGATGCGCACAGACAACGGCGCGCGCGACGCACACGGGACGAGTGCGCAGGGAGGATGCGCGCGAGGCGCGGGAAGCATCCCAACACGCGCGGGGCAGGACGCCCCAATCCTCGAGGAATGCGGACTGGCGGGGCAGCACGCGCGCGGTAACACGGCCAGCAGCAGTGGCGTGCGCAACACTCTGGACGGGCACGCACGCGCTAGTGGCGGTGCCCTAGTCCTCAAGGACTAGGGCGTGGGCGAAGGCGGCGCGCGGGTAAGGCGGTCGCGTGGGCGGCCGAGAGAGAGAGAGAGAGAGAAAGAAGATCCCTTGGAGTGCAAGCCCAAGTTATTTAGTTTCCATCTTGCACAATGATATCTAGTTTAATTAGGATACTTAATATTTTATTGCTTTCTTAGAGTTATAGATATATTAGGATTAGATCTAGTTTGTGCCTATATAAAGGCCCTTCCCCTATTTTATTTTGGAATCATTCAAGAAATCAATAGAAATCTAGAACTTTTCTCTTCCAACTTTGCTTTAGTCTTTTCACCAGAATACTATTGCAATTTTATCGTTTCAATAGGCGCGGTTGTGGCTAGATAAACACTATCAGCGATTCAAGGCGTAGGTTAGCGGCTTATCGGCAATCGAAACACACGATCCTCACTAG